GGTAATGGTCACCACGCGGAACGGGGCGACGCCGTGTCCAATAAACCGGTAAGACTAGCAAGGCCATATCGAAACAATGCCATCCTCTTCATACCGCAGGAGGCGAGATCAGCGAGGTTAGCGCGGCAGGCTGAGCGGCCGGAAACCCCTGGGCGGAAACAGGCGTGATAGCCGGGATGCGATGCGACATTTGTTGTGTCATGCAACGAACTTATAGAGTAACGTATCTTATTGAGAAAGTAATACCACTGTCTAAATATATTTATATATAGTCCATATGTATGGACTGTATGACAAACATTTTACGTCAACGTCACGTTATCGAGGCGCACTGCTGTAATTATTATTAAAGACTCTGTCGAGACCTTGATTGTTGTCATTTGCAGTTCTATTTCTGTTGACAGAGCGGGTATTCTCGTAGACGTTGACCCCGTCTTGATTTCGGTCGAAGCAGCCGCGAACACCTTTCGTTTATGCTAAGCTCAACCCTGCTACGGCGGAGAAGCAGCGGGCAATTGAAAATCACCCACCTTGCCTGATTAATGCAGAGATAACGGCATAAGCGATTTTTTTCGGATTTTTTGGTTTTGGTTTTGGTTTTGAAAACGTGCGGCCTCCGAAAATAGGTTCAGTAAGACGATTTGTTACTATCATCACAAAAGAGGCGACGGAAAGTGCCGTACTGTCTCACAAATTGCCTAACTAGCAGGGATAGGTCAGGACCTGCGTGACACTTGCGCGGATGTGATACGCGCCTTCGCCGGCAGTTTTATTTCTTAATATACTTGGATGTGATGTGTCAGAGAGCGCCTCGTTCGGCATGCGATTACCCGGAAGCAACTGCGTGATACAGGATCCCTTCCTTTATTTGCTTATACTGTGCCGGATGCAGGCTTTGTGGCCGGGTTGCATACTCTCACGGGGCTGTAAGGCGTCGCGTCGCGGTGAGCGATGGTAGGCAAGCCCATCCGCACGCCTCCTGCATGCGGTACAGTATAAGCAAAATGTATGGGGTCTGTGGGCCACCCTGTATTGATGCACTCAAACGGCGAACATATTTTCGTTTCGTCAGGTTCCAGCGCCGCTCCTGGCGCTCATGCTCGTGTCACCCTAGAAAGGATAGCTATCCTCTCTAGTGTCACCGGTGTAACCCAGCCTTCGTCAAAATGCGAAAATACCAGCAGTTCGGCGCGGTGTGGCGTGGCATAGACGCAGCGGCCGGTGCAGCGCGTGCAGCGTTCCTGGTCGGCAGCCAAGCGGTCTGGGGCGGCGCCGCGCCGCGCCCTGCCGCTGCAGCAGCAGCCCGGCGGGCCCGGGCAATACGCGGGCGGGGTGCCGCTCGCAATGCCACTCTAAAACCGCACCCCCCTCAAAACTGGGTCAACGTAACGTCGGTCGGTCGACACCACTCGCACCGCACTGCTCACCTGCCACCGTATCTCCGGTCTTCCCCTGCTGGTGCTTCATGGGTGGGCCGGTGCGCGGGTGAAGTCCTCTGTGCTGCTCGGCGCACACAGCCGCTCCTGCTCCGCTCGCGACTACTAAACTTGACCGTCGCGTTGCAGAGCTCCGCGGCGGCCCGCGGCCACACGCAGCACCACGCCGCCGACCGCCTCCCCACCCCCTCCTCCGCCACGGCACCGGGCACCGGGGCGCCGCGGGGGCCGTATCATCGGTCTCAGGGGCGCCAGGGTTACAGCCACCTGTCGCAGCCCTGGCCCCGCTCCAGACCATCCAGTGCGAGCGGAAGTGGGTCAGGACCTCCTCCTCGGAAGGGGACCCGAGCTGTTGACAACTCTTGTAACCTTACGGAGTTTTCCGCTTGCCTCTTTAGCCAGTGTCGGACGGGATTCCTCTCGGCCGACCTTAGAGTCTATCAGTCTATCCCAACGGATACATCTCATGACGCGTCTCACCAGCGCCGTGGTTTGAACTCCCGCCGCACTTGCAGACGGATGCAGACGACCAACGCTACTTGATACTTGAGTCTATCGTAGCTGTGTAACAGTGAGAGAGCACACGGGTTTTCAAACAATTTCGTCAAATTTAAAGTTCGAGTTATTTTCCGGTCCATGATTCAATTCGCATTGAGTAATTTTAATCGTATCAGGTCTCAGTAACATAAGAGAAGTTTCTTGCTGCTGCATTGGCAGTGGTCCCTCATGAGTTTTGTTTTTGCTTCATGTGTGTTTGTGTGTGTGTGTGTGTGTGTGTGTGTTAATACCACTGTCAACATGGCGTCGGCGAGGCCTCAGCGCTTCGATTCTTCAGCTTTAAAGAGAAAGGAGGAGACTGAAGAGTTACTCGTGTTTGGATATTCTTGCAAACTATTCCGTGATGACGAAAAAGCTTTATTCATTGATCAGGGGAAGCATTTGATCCCATGGATGGGAGATGATACTCTAAAAATAGACAGGTAACCCCAAAAATTTTATGTGATTTTTTGTCTGTTGAACTCCGAAAAGATTTTTCCCTCCCGTTATTTGATATCTTATCTCCCGTGAACCTCTTTTCAAGTTCTTATATTGCGCTATACCTCCATTTATCCTCATCTTTAAAATAGTTTTTAACATACATTTTGTTCTTTGGCCTTGCACTCAGTTTTCTTAGCTCAACTGTTTTATATGCATGCAATGAAGTATTTTTGTTCGTTTTTTTCTGTAGCTTTAAAGTTTTATCTTCTGTTTTAGATATGACGTGAGAGGCACCGTTTATGATCTACGTCCTCTAGAGCCACTTGGTGGTGGTGCTTCTGATGCACTGTGGTCCACTCTGTCCGATGCCGAAAGGAAAGTTGAGCAACTTTGTGATGAGGAACGTTACCGTGCCTTGTATCATAATGAAGCTGAAGAGGCATTGTATCAAGGTAAGTCTCATTGTCATACTAAAGTAAATTCTAATTTGGATTGAAAAATTTTCATGACTTGTATACTTTTACCCTTTCAGAGGAGGAACTGAAACGGTTACACAAGGCTCTAGACCCTCAGAACTCTTATGGACAGGTAGCATATAGTTATGATGAAGAAACTGAACAAAATGTATCAACTGATGCAGACAGTAAAGATCCATGTGAGGCAACTGATGAGGAAGATGAACCTTTTATTCCACCCCCTGAACTTGATGTACCTGTTGGCATGGTCCTTGTATGTAATTTTTATCACTTGAAACATTCTCTGAATAACTGTTTTCGAAGCTAGTTTCTTATTGCACTTTTATCTCAATTTCAGCCAGAACGCACCAAACTCAATGCCATTATCGAAAAGACTGCAGCCTTTATCAACACACAGGGTCCTCAGATGGAAATTATATTGAAGATGAAGCAAGCCAATAATCCGCAGTTCTCTTTTCTTTCGTTTGATTGCCCCCTTCATGCTTACTATAGGCATGTTTTAATGGCTATCAAAACTGGGAGATATTTGACAAGGCAACAAAGACAGCAGCAAGAACAGAATGGTAAGTAGCTACTGTACATATTTCTAAGGAGGCTTCAAACTGATATGGCACATAACATAATTTGATCAAATGCATTTTATTTCAGATACAGAGAATTCTGAAGATTACCTCCATCCAAGTCTTTCCATCGCAGCCAAACCTGTTGAATTGGTAGGTTTATAGATTACCAACAGGCATTTTTAAGTGTCTAAATCCTTTCATAATTCAATAATTCATAAACAGCTAATCATGCTTGTAACCGTGAATTCCAACATTAAGGTCCAATCCCTTTCTTGTTATTTTGCATGTAAGGTGCAAGTTGTCAAGTTCCAACTTTGTAGACATTAAACAGTTACAAACATGATTGGCGTTGAATAGAAACTTGAGATTGAAATTTGGATGAACTGTTATCTTTTATTTAAAATTTATTTTTACAGTCGTTACTGATTTTATGCTACTGTTTTCTTGCTCTATGATTTATTTGTTATCATTGAAAGTTTTTCCAAACTTCAAACCTAAGTGCATGCTTACCATCTATTTAAGATGTCAGGATTGGTGACCATGTGTAGATTTTACCTATTTTTCTATCTAGCACCTATTACTTGCATATCAGAGGATCTATATTAAGGTGAGTATTAGCTATGAGTTTTGAATTATAATTGTGGCTCTTTGCTTGGTATTTTATCTAAAGTTTAAAGTTAACCTACTTATAGGTGGGTTTACTTCAAACCCAGAAAAGAAACTAATCCTTCTGCAGTTTTCTGTACTGGTGACTGGTAATTCATGGCTCCTTGTCAATTTACCTGTTTTGTTGGTTTCCTCTAAAGATCATCTAAATTTTGATTTGTCTCTTATATTTTAAAAGATGAGGAATCAAGTAATTTTAAACATTCACTTTCAGCTGGTTGCAACATTTTTAAATTTAGTTTTGATTGTGGTTAGTACGTTTAAATGACACATACTCTGGTTAACATCCTGGAATTCAAACACTAGTTTGTTTCCAACCATAACTATCCCAAACCATGCAATCTAGAGATCTTACATAATTTCTGCAAATGGTAACAAAGTTTGAACATTGTATGTTCTGATGGTATGTGTCAACAAATTGTTTCACATAAAAGTGTGTGTGTGTGTGTGTGTAATTGTATGTACCATATATTTTACCTGCACCACCTAAACGCCACGTTTTCAGTGTTATGAAATATTACCTATTGCAAATGTTTCCCTTTCATATCAGACTAACTTTTAGTTTTAAGCTGTATAATCCAAAGTGATAATCAACTGCTTCTTTCTGATTTCAGGGCATCTTTAAAGAGCAAGCTCATTGGAGACATGCTGGATCTTATAGAATTGGTGGATAAATGCTTAGGGGTAAACAAATGTTCTAAATCATTAAATTAAATCATTTAATTATAGTGAAGCTGATTAAATGGTTTAATTTATGGTGGAGCTAGGTATATCACTAAACCTATCCCAGAAACAGCTCCGTGGTTGTTTCTGGTTTATTCCAGGCAAAATTTATAAATGGTATCTACTGATATATTCTGTAAATTCCTTTTGCCGCGTGGCGTTATTCGTATACAATTCCTCACAATTTTTAGAATAAGAAAAATTAATGCTTAACTAGGAAGTAAGGAGCTGTTTTGCGTACAGAATTCTTTGGTTTGTTCTTACGTGTTGCGGTATTCATTATCTTATCTTCCCTCCACCTTAAGGAGTCCGGCCTGGTCGCAGTTTCATAGTACAGTTTTTCTGGCACTATTTCATGATTCATTTCCATCTCCTTACTTCCAGACCTAAAGGCTATGTTTCATGGATGACTAATTTTGTAGCATCCATAATGAAATATATATATGCATTACTATAAGGGGACCGGATGGCCAAAGCATAGAAAGGTGCAGCTATTTATTGTAATCCTCTTTTACAGGCACCCAGTATCCCCAGCATCAGTTACAAGCCTTCTGCAGACTGCGCTTATTCCATGCTTGTTAATAAGATTAAAGACAGGCAAGGTAAATTGACAGATGACAATTCTGGTAAGTTTGCAGTTTGGCTCCTCCTCTTTTTTGTTTTGCTTGTGTTTTTTAATATTTCTACATTTTGTGAATTAGCATTATTATTATATACTAAAATACTTATTTTTTCTTTGTTCTAGGTCCTGGTTCACCGGGAGAGAGCGCGGGGTAAGACTTCTTTTAAATTTTTAACATACTTTATCTGTTCTAAAACTCATCAGATATTATGAGATGGAATCTAACAACAATACTGTAATGATATTTTTCAGAAAAGACAATAGTTCTCAAGTCAACCATTCAATTCTTGCACCACCACCTGACATTCAGGTCATTATTGACAAAATGGCAAGCTATGTGATCAAAAATGGTAGAGACTTTGAATCTGTTGTAAGGAGTAAAGGTATGGTTTATTCTCTAAATCATATTTTGTTTGACCTTCATGTTTTTCTCATTTTTTCTCTTATCAAATATTTTCTGGTTTTTAAGGTGATGAGAGATTTGCTTTTTTGGATGTGGGACACAAGTTTCATCCGTATTATGATCACAAAGTTCGTGTTTACCAAGGATTAGAACCTCCTATAAATTTTAGTCAAGCCTCAACAAGTTGTAACAACTCTCAAAAGCCCAACCAAGACGCTGTTAAAAAAAAAGCGCTGCCAGACAAAAAGCCACGGCCAATTCTTCTCCCAGGATATGAATACAGTGATGATTCCTCTGAATCAGAGGACAGTGAACAAGAAAACAGTAAATCAGATCAAAAAGGGAAACCAAAATTGGGTAATATACATATACATTCCTTATATGTATACTAACTTAAGTTTTTATTACCATACTCATTTTACAGCTAATTCTCTTGTTTTTGTACAGCTCCAGTCTGCTTTTCAATTAAAAAACCAAAAGAAGCAGAAATATTGAAAGAGGTAAAAAGTGCTCTTCCTGTTGAAGAAGAAAGCTCTGAGGGAGAATGTGATGGAAAAAATGAAACAGCAGGCAAGCCATCAAATCTAGTTGAAGTAAAACCCCCAGAGCAGAGCATTGAAGATAGTTCTCCTCCTGCTTCTGCTTTAGCTACTCCAGAGGAAGAAATGCGAAGACTTCAACAGTTACTCAGAGAAAAAGAGAAACAACTCCGGGATCAGGAGATGCAGAGAAGAATTAAGGAAGAATGCAATCAAGATATTTTCCCTACAGAAATAGACTCAAAGATTGAAACTTCAAGTCCGCCTCCAGAGCCACCATTAGCTGTTGAAACCCCACCCCTTGTCAAAGATCCAAAAGACGACGGTCTGAGAAATGTAAATGAAAACAATCAGTTGACCAAGGAGCAAAAATGTGAAGACACAACAGAAGCCAGTGACAAGCCTCCACATGAGAAAAATGATATTATGGATAAAAAAAATATGACTCAAGACACTGCAGAGCCAATAAATGTGATGGCAGAAGCAGAAGTAATTGATCTTACAGAAGAGGCTGATGATACTCCAAAAGTGTCAGGTAAGATCTATCAGTTTACATGAATCCACTATAAATGAATGAAGCAGACAGTTTTACTGTAACTGTTGTACTTTATGTTTGTTATTTAAACATTGTAACTTTTAATAAAGACACTTTGTTGTGACAGATACAATGAGACAAGAAAGGAAAAGAAAGGCTGCTGCATTTTTGAGCAGGCTGCAAAAAGAGCGCCACTTGAGTAAGAATGGTACATTTTGAAGTTCTCTATTTTTAATGTGTGGGTACTTATATTTGAAATAATTTTGACAAAACTTTACTTCTTTTCTACTATATCTCACAGGAAGTACTCATCCTACCAGCGATTCAGATGCTGCCTCTAGGCATTCCACCCCTTCTCCAACTCAATTAAAGTAAAAATAATTTCTTTATTTTGCCAGTCACAAGGCTTCTTTATCAAAACAAACAAACAAATAAAACACCTTTAGGACACTCAAATAATTGTGAATGATTTTCTGTCTTTCTAGGAGAGAAAAACAAGATGCTGGTGTTTTAAATTTCCATGAGGCTAGCATACCTAGAACTTCACTTATGGCAAGACTAGCAGGTGATTGTAATTTTGCATCAGACAATTAATCGAATTTTTCTCTTTCTTACATGTTCTCTGTTTTTGTTGTTTTCTTTACAGCTTCCTCTCACTTACCTCGGCAACCAACGGTTGATAAGAAAAAGACCATTAAAGGCTCAAGGTATGAGGAGAATATCATTGCTGTGATGTGGGGTATAGAGGGGTTCTTTTTCTATAACTCATTGTATTTATTTTTGATACTATCAGGAAGTCAGAAAGCCCTACAAAGCCAGTGAAAGGGAAGGATGATAAGTCATACAATAAACAAAGAAGCAAGAGGAAAAAGGATGTATCATCATCAACAGACTCTGAACCTGAGAGATCTCGTTCTCGATCCCGATCTGTTTCGTATTCTCGGTGGGTGAAACAATTCTTGTCATTACAGCTAATTATACTTTTTATTATCAATTCTTGTTGTACCACATTATCTGTCTCTGAATGAGTACTTATTATTTAATGTTTTCAGATCACCATTGCACAAACGGCGCCAAGCTGATGAAAGTGATGTTGAACAAAGAAATCATAGGCATCATAGAGAAAGCAGGAGTAGTAGCCACCGTAAGAAACACGATGTAATCGAAACAACTGAAACACCTCGAGATCACAGCCCTAGAAGACACCATCGAAGACGTGAAGATGACCGGCGTGGTCACAGTTTTAGTCATAGTCATACTCATGGTCATGGGCATAGTCGCACACGGCCACGTGGCCAAGGGCGCAGTCAAAGCCACAGTCAAAGTCACACGCCACCAAAGAGAAATGAATCTCAAGTCAGTGACAGTGAATGTAGCGAATAAGATCAAATTAAACTTAGATAGCATCTATGTTTGTACTGTATGTACATTTCGAAGGTGTGTAGTGAATTTCCATGGCTAATGACAAGTTTTTATTCCAAGAGACTATTTTTGATTACATAGTTCCATTCATTAACCTGTGGAATCGTTTTTTTCGGTCATCTTTTTGCTATAATATATTACTTACGTTAAATTCGGGTTACAATAGAAATGCAAATTAACTGTTATGCTGTGTACATCTGAAGTCTTTGTCCAAAGATTACCATTAGGTTGTATTCTAGAAAGGAACCCTTCAGTTTGTGTCATTAGAGAGGGCTTGACTAAAGAGTTCTTGCCAATTGATTTTCTGGTCCATGTTATGATGACAATTCTCAATTTCAAACGGGGTTAAATTTGTCTGACCTGAAGATTTTAAGTTTAGCTGAAAGTAATGAACTTTCTCTTCATTATTTGTACATTTATACTGTATGTTAATAGTTGACTACCTATTTTGTATATCTCATTTATCGGGAAGTTACTGTAATTAGTTGAAATACATAATCTGTGATCATTGAAGATGATTTAATCCAATCTAGGTAATTTCCAGTACTCTGTTAGCTGAAGACCATATAACATGACGGCGATCCAAGTGTTGTGAGGTGCAGTCCAACTCCAGCATCTTAAAATAAGTATCAAATATGAATATTTACTTTTTTGTAACCTTAAAATTTATTCAAAAATATAATTTGAATCTAAATTTAATGGACCAACATAAGTTTTCAGTTTGTAGCTAGAAAACAAGATAGGTAAAACAAATCAGATTTAAAAACAAACAAAAACAAGATTGCAATTTTAGCTGCGGCGCGTCAACTGTAGCAGAAGGTGAAAACCAGATTCAATTTTACACACGTAATTATGTACCTTGTTTGTGATGTTAAGTTAATTTGTTCTACATAAAAACAATTAAGGCTTGAGAATCTAGACAAATATGTTAATAAATTAGCGCACATTGAAATAATTGCAATGGAGAGTTACACCAGGAACACATTCCTTGCATAACATATATGCAAACATCTCAAAATCTAGGATTGTAACCATTGCAGAAGTACACTCAGTACTTGCCATTTTGTACAAATAAGTATTCACAAGCTATATATCCACTAGAATTGATAGTATTCACATGCATTGATTATTTACACAAAACAAGTACAATTATGATTATGATTCATATTTTGCACCTTTGCTTTCTAATCACTAAAATTTTCCTACTCTACTTTGTGATCTCATCTTTGGGTAACTTGACTAAGTATATTGACCATGCAAAAGAGACATAAATATTGAAAATCACAGTGGATTGTACAGAAAGACATGAAACTTTAAATTCCATCAAAAAGTACACACCTTGGGGCAGTCAGAATGTTTTTTTTCAATTATCATTAGTTTTTTAGCAGAGCACTCCAAAATCACAATCACAAGTAACCAGTAAATTCAAAGTTAAAAGCAAGAAGGGGCAGTATTGTGTATTACCTAACATCGTGAACTTACGGAAGATAATGATGGAGAAAACAAACTGTTATACTAAGGCCTGAGCACATACATGTGAGCAAAGAACGAAATGAACTTTACAAGTCTGAACACCATTTTATTATGTTGTTAGCATTGATGCAGCTGGCATTGGACTGCTTTATCTGCTAAGAAAACAAATGTAATCACCTCATTACATAAATATAACATGGTAAAAAAAGAGATAACAAATTTTCTGGTAGCTGGCTTCTGTGTGCAAAAGCACACTTTCCAAACTATAGTGATTTGAACATATAGATAACTTTTTACCCTAATAATTCAAAATCTTCATCTGAATCTTCCAGCATACTGTCCATATTTTCACTTGCTGTAAAAAAAAGGATAAGTTTAGCTTGCATTTGTGTGTTCGTGTGTGTGTGTGTGTGTGAGGGGGAAATATAATATCATCTTACCTTCCTGTGCCCAGGCTCCTAATAAATCATCTTGTTTGCTGACAGGAGACCAACGGTCTGGCTTCTCTTCACAAACTTCAAATAATGGTTGCTTTTCCTGTTCTACTATTCTTTCACGGAACAACTGACACAAAGAGTCTAACTCATGTTCAGTAGAACAGAAGAAACACTAAAGGAGAAAAATTGTAATTAAAAAATAAATTTTGTTAAACAATTGCTTTTATTTTAAATAATGTAAATTCTTTACCACAGCAAGTGATGGGTCCATATTCAAAATATGCAACCGACTTGCATTTGGACAATGGTATGTTAGATCAGCCTGACGTTCACTTTCATTATCCTTTCCTTCAACAAAGCATGTCTGCTGGGTTGTGTGTGGATCAAGATAAATTACTTCATCACCTAATAAAGAAACATGGAAAAATGTAATATAGGTATATTTTGAATGAAAAGTCACACAGAGTAAACAAAGAAGACTTAATTTACTTACCTACACAACCAATAAAGTACAATGCATGATTGGGTTTTCCCCCTATTACACCCAAAGACTGTCGGAATGAAAAGCAAGTCTGAAAGAAAATACTGAATTTAGTCACCAAACTCATTAAATATTTGTTTAGTATAGATGGATGTAGACAATGATATTTTCATACCTTTAAGCCTTTAAGGTAAATAGGATTTATTTCACTAAGGCCAAGTCTCAGTGGTATAACTAAAACTAAAGGTTTCCACCGATTTCCAGGTTCCGTTCCTCGGCAAAGCTGTTCTGTAATGAACAATACAAGACATATTGTACAGTTTGATAGAATAAAACAAAAAATCTTGACCAGAATTTAATTTACTTACTGATCTCACTAATCACAATGGTGTTGTCCAAAGCAACATGGAATGCAACAGAGCTCCATTCATCATAGAATGCTAATTTTCTGTAACAATAAGAAAATATACAGTAATAATGATCTGTTCCTATTTGGTAGCCTGACCCTTATTTAGTTGAGGGAAAAAATGACTAACTTCAAAACTTGTGCTATAGTGTTGGGCCCAAACCACTGACCAACTTCCTTTCCCTCTGTCGCACCCATTTGAGCAACTTGATGGATTGAATATACAGCACCTCGTCTGTCCTCAAAAAGACGTAAAATTTGCAAGTATGCTTGGCATTTACTCTCTGCACTCCACAACCATTCACGGCCAAGGTGCAAATTGAGAAGAGCTTGTGCCAGCACCATCTGACCACAGCGAAGCATACACCCCCATCCCTTATCAGATGTAAGGCCTGAGTCTCCAATCGGGACAAAGCCACGTCTGTAGGTAAACCAAAGACGTGAGCGAATGTCTTGTCTAATCAGCTCTAAATCTGGGAAAAACAGCAACAGCAGTGTGTCAATTTTTAATTTCAGAAAAATAAAAGAAAATGAGAAAACATCCTACCATCTATGGCACTATATTTTTTGCCAAGTATCCAAACAGGTTCCTTGGTATTTGGGATGTCATCAGGCTCCAGCTGCACAGCTTCATTAGTGAGGTAAGCCTCAAACATCATATCCATGGCTACAATAAAAAAATAAATAAAAAAACAACAAAAAGACAGTATTAACATTTTGAGTAAGATTTTTTCACAACTTGAAATTACATTTATTTCTCACTTTTTATCTAAGATTTCCCAGAACTACAGAGCAAATGCTGTCTCACGGCTGTTAGTACACTACAGCTTTTGCACCATGTAAACAGGCCACGAATTCTGTAAAAAAAAAAGCAGAAAAAAGTGTATGAAGAAAACAAAAATGTTTTTTTTCAGATATAATAGAAAATGGTCTTTTTGTACTGCATCAGCATCAATCCTTGAGAATCAACCTCAACTCATAGGCTGTAATTGTGTCATAAAAAAAACCTAAGTAGCAAAAAAACAACAAACAAGAACACAAGTGTTCTGCTACAATTGGATCTGTATCACATCAAAAATTTAAAATATTTTGACTGAATCAAAGATGTTGATTCATTGTCTGATAGGAACACAGCAATCTCATTCAGTAATAGAGAATAAGAAGCAAAGTTGGTTTGCTGTCAAGAATTCAAAAGGGAAAAAAAGGGTAAAAAAAGGAACAGCTGACCTAGAGCAACTGTAGGGCCAGCTGTCTTAGATATCTCTGACGACATAAACACGAGCGAGGTAGCTATTATTTCGGATACGGTACACCCTGTAGTTTCTGAAGCGATGGAAATTTAACAAAAGACCTTGTTGAAACCCTCACTGCAAAGCAACTCCTTGTTTGTCATATTTTTCAACTTATATTCCAGATATATACATATCCAAACAAAGACATTTTCTGCTGCAGCTCTAGACAAATGAAAAGTGATTTTCTTACGAGACTTTTGATGTACCGTTCAGAACAGTTCATATCAATTGAAATCCACTGTGGTCGACGAAGGAAATGGACGAGGAGACTTCACATTTCTCGTCGATAAAATGTTAAGACAGCAGTCAATTATGTTTGGCACTCAATCCGTGTGTGTTTTTCCACTCGTCATGGAGGAACGAGCAACTTTGGAAACGGAAACGAAGCAGGGAGTGGCGCATGCGCAACAGTAATCAGTCGTCTGTCCACTTGACAGCCCCACTCCCCCGCTTCCACTTCCACTGTTGGTTGGATTGGCTGAACTGGGAAATTTGAGATTTGGATTGGTTGGAGTGTGGATTTGGATCGTACAAAGCGGTCCCAAGCAATACTCCAATAATCGCTGGCGGCAGGGCATAGAAAATGATATGATACTGAGTGTTATATCTTTCTCCTGTAAAAGTCCAAATTATTAATGTTGAAATCCATTTCGTCTTACTTCTTCGCGGGAGCTGAGGAAGAAAAACAGTAAGTTAAATTATTGCACCCAGTTAGGATTCGTCTTTCAAATTTGTTGTCAAAGGCGACTTGCTGTCAATGCCCCCAATTAATTCATTTTGTACAGTTCCTCAAGGGACATTGCATAAAATCATAGCATTAAATTAATGCGGCGGATATCCATACGTTCACAACTTCTCTTGTTCTGTTGGATTTGACATTGCTTACCGGGTGACTTAACCTCACGTTCTTGTACTTCAATGGCGTAAACTGATACTAATCTGTTGTTTAAATTGCTTATTCCTTGCACTCCTCTCATAGAGATGCATGCTTATTCTTGTTTTAAATGAAATTTTTATTTCCTTGGTTTGTTTTATTCGTAAGTTAGTTAACATCCTTATGAAATATGTAAGCCATGCTGTCATCTGATAATTCATGAATGTGACTCTGATTTCAGACCAGTAGAGGAAGTAAACTCCACAGCCATGACGCCGTCAGACAATACGCAGACTGTGTATGTAATTTTTTCAGGCTGTTTCTGTGTGATCTTTCAACATGATTCATGATTAACTTCTGTAAATTTCTTGACAGGCAATTCCAGGGAAGTGACGAACAGCACAGCACAGAAATTTACAGCAATGATGTGACCATTATTCCAAGTGCTGGAAATCATGACAAAAGTAGCTCTCACGTTAAAACCAACAATATTGTTGATCATAGTTGGGATGTCAGGTTTTACAAGGGTCAACTCTTAGCTGTTCATCTCTCCGGAAAATTTATTGCCTTTGGTATTCAAGGTAAGTAGATTATTTTTTGACTCTGGATAATCTCATTATTGATGTAGTAACTGTCAAGTTTTTTCTTTTCCCTTTTAGTTGTTTCTAAAAGTGAAAGTATGGTTCGTATTGTGAACCGTCAAAACAACCACCGATATCTCTGCAAGGGAATAACTGGGGTTGTGCAAGATATAGCATTTGCTCACATTGCTACTCAAGTAATACTTGGTATTGTTGATGAAGCAGGAACATTATTTATCTACCGCATCGAAGACACTCCTAATGCTTTACAGTATCCTTTTTTGCTCTGCTCACCCTTATTTTTTTTGTATGCTCTAATACTCTACTACAAATATCAACATTATGAAGCACCTTAACAACTTTCCAGAACAAAACTGATATTGCATGTATCACAAAAAAATGTCCGTGACCAAATAGGTCTCATCCACCGCTTGATTTGGTGTCCCTATATCCCTGAAGAAGACTCAGATGCCAAGCAACCTGAAGATGAAGAAGTTGCCAATATGCTTGTAGTCACTCATGGTCCAAGGGTACTTGTTTCTCTCTGTGATGGCCTGTTCACTGCTGCAGGTTGCTTGATGACCTGTTAGGTCCCCTTTTAACTTTTTCTATTTTTGTGTTTCAATTTTCTCTAGGCAGAAATTTGGAATGTGCAAATGGTTATTCAGAAGCATGGAACTGACAAGGAGTTGCACCCTGAGGATGTTAAAGAAGGGTTGCTTTCTCTGAACCACCATGAGGTGGACATAGTTGATGCAGCATTCTCCCCAGATGGGACAGCTTTAGCAACAGCAAGCTTAGATGGATATGTGAAGTTTTTCCAGGTACTTCTTAGACTTTGTTCGAGACTGCAAGAAATGTTTTTATTGTTACATCTTATGCTCCTGCCTCTCTTGCTCTCTCCCATAGGTGTACATGCAAGGACAAGAAGAGCCAAGGTGTCTTCACATGTGGCAGCCTCATGATGGAAAACCTTTATCATCACTATTCTTCCTTGATAATCATCGTTCACATGCATCAGAGCAAGTATCTTCATCAAAGTGGAATATTCCTTTGTCTGACATATACCTAATAACTGATTGTTTCTTTTCTCTTCTAGCACTCAATTCTGGAAGTACGTTTTGACTGGATCAGAAAACAACTCTGAATTAAAAATTTGGTCGTGTGAGACATGGTCTTGCTTGCAGACAATCTCTTTTGCCTCCAAACAAACATCTACAGTTCCCAGTTCTATTAGCTTAAAAGCGGGCATTGATCTCTCTGCCGATTTTATTATGCTCTCTGACATAAACAATAGAGTAAGTCAGAATTTTGAATTTCAATCAGTTTATTAACTATTTTCAGATGTTACAAAGTTAAACTTGCAACAAACCTGTTTTCAGGTACTGTATGTACTTCAACTGCAGAAGGACTCCATAGCAAGGGTTTGTGCAGTTTCTGAATTTCTATTACCCAACCCTATTCTTAGTTTTGGTATTGTTGATGCTGGCATACGTAATGTGAAGAGGCACCATGATGTGACAAGTGACTTGGAAAGCGATCTTATGGACAATAATGAAGATGATGAAGATGATGATGGAGGTTTGTTCGTCATTTTGTTATGTTTTAGCTTTTGAGTATGTACAGTTTTTTTAATCAGAATTTTTGGGGAGTAGGAGATGACGATGATGAAGAAAAGGCTCTTCAGGTGGTCATCCGCATGTATGTTGTACACCCCAAGTCTTTAAGAGGGTGTATAATTTCATTTGATCCGCCTGTTGAAGCAAAAAAATCCATGAGCATATATTCTGAAGATACTCTAGGTATGTTTTATAGAATCCTTATCTATCTTATTTGCAGTGTGGGGAATGTTGATATTACAGTAGTGGATTTTGGATTGGAGCGGGATTGTTGTATTTATGTATTTTCTGAAGGGGTTTTCTTAACCTTGGGTCTTTTCAGCGGTTGCATAGTTCTTGTTTTTTTTGTATGTTTTTTTGCCGCCAAACAATACTGTGGACTACCCTGGCTTTCGTTCTGTACTTTCCCATCAAAACTCCTTACCTACTTCCTTACTTGATCCTGTGGTTAATTTATGTAGATTGGGCTATCCAACTGTCTGTCTATTTGATTAGGTGTGTTCTCTCTTACTAATTAACAGTAAATAGTATTTAATCTAACCACTATTGGTGTATTTCTAGGAAAGGAATCTCCTGAGAATCAACCACAACTGATTGAAGGTAAAGAGCAAAGACATGCATGCCATTTAAACAAACAGTATTTCAGTTCCTTGTTGATGCTTATCCAAGTAAAATCTATTGGAACCCTTGTACTGATCCAAATATTTTAGTAGTTCCAGTCAATTTTTCTGCTAAGCACCTCTGCCTGTACCGAGTGTGAAGGCTAACACTCCCCAGTGTTGCGGGTTTGCATACCCAATGCATTCTGCATCGCTTGCACTTTGGCAGTTAGTCGCCCTTCGCTGGCCTACAATAGCGCCGGGCAGATCGGGTAGGCGAACCCGCAACACTGTGATGTATTGCCTTTACAGACGGTACAGCAATTGACTCCTCCCTTGTGCTTAATTAGTTTGTGCCATCTGTTTCTCTCCTTGCCTCTTTCTGATGTGTCAAATTATTATCTGACATATCCTCGGACATATCTGGGTTCTTATTAATCCGTTGCATTAATGTGTTACTCTTTTTCTAATTTCAGCTTTTGCTGAGGGCATGTCTGATGTCTCTGAAAACTGTCTGGCCAAAGGAAATACCCAAAATTCAGTGACTTCAACTTTAGCTTTGGCTGGAACTGATAGTGCAAATAATTTGACACCGCTCCCTGAGCTTCATCAGTCTACAGAGCCAAAGTGTCTCAGTAACTTGATGACTCCTGATGACTTCAGTTCCTCTAATGAGAAGAATGATGTTGATGCAACTAGCAGTCCTTTACTGCCTGTGAGTTGTTGTAGCACTAAACCAACATTGTATCACACACATCCATACTTACCCTTGCTTTGCTCTTAAATCCTCTCACTCAATGCATTGGTTTCATACATACCTCTTCTTGTGAGCAAAATTTCCCCATTTTCCTTTACTCTTATGTAGAAAGCCACATATAAACCTATGAATAACTGCATTTAAATTGTTATACAAATGTAACATGCTCTGTCTTGTGTGACATAGGTGAGCGAGCAGTTAGGACCACAGTTAGGTGAACTTTGTGGTGAGAAAACCAGACAGCAAGCTGATCCTTCATCCAAACACGAAGCTACAAATGGCAGAGCTTTGAAGACTAAAGGGAAAAGCAATGGAAAGGCCATGGTAATGCAAACAGGATCACTGGCTGTGATGGTTTTGAAACTTTGGAGATATTTCTCCTAATATGTAGCTGAATGCACTCTTTGTTTGGAATAGTAGCTACCTAGTTGTCTTTAGCAGTGACTTTCTGGCTGCCCACACCAGATAATTGTTCTAGTTTGTCTTAGCATGACTTGATATTCCTCTCAAGTACATACATGCAAGTTAACATTTATGGTCACATCGTTCTGTGTACTCCAGTAAATGGTGTTCTGAGAGCTTGTATTTTCTTTTACCTTTTCTTATAATCCAAGCCACATTTCTATTCATGCATTACTTTTGGATTTAGCTTTCTAATTGTATTGTTGTATTTCTGCATGTTAGTTTTGTTTCATCTTATTTGTACAAGTATTACTGTATGTAGTAATTTCTTTTATCAACACTAATATTTTTAAAAATCTGATTTAATTTTTCAATTTCAGGCTGACACATGTCTAAACAGGAAAAGAGAGCCTACAGCAAGTGGTGGCAGTAGCCCCAGTCGTGAAGTTGAAGAAATTTTGTCACATGGCAGCTCTGATTGTCTTTCCAGTACAACTCCCTTTAACTTCCAAAATGCGGCTGTTCCTGAAGATCCATCAATGTGAGATTTTTTTTAAGTATGTCTGGATTCTATATAGTCATTTATGAGTAGTTTGATAATTAGTAGTTCTTCTTTCAGCATCAAGGCGGAGACCAGTTTAGGAACAGTACCAACGGGCGAAGCTATACCCTTGATTCTGCCTTCAAATCCCTGTGGGCTTTTACCACTCGCTCTGACAACCTCACTCCAAGCTTCAACCATAGCAACAACTACAAGTGCGTTACAAGCAGTTGTTGCAGCAGCTCAAGAGAAGCCACCTGTCATGGTGACAGCTGAACAGTTAGAGAAGCAACAAACTCAATGGAGTCGTGTAGACCTGCTTTTGGAAACTCTTCAACAACAGCAAGTAGAAATTAAGGCAAGATTATGATGACTTAAATCTACTTTTTCATCCTTTAGTACTTAATTTATCTAAATAGTGATTCATCCTTAATTTTGCAGAGTTTGAGACAAGAACTTGGCTCACTTCGACTAGCTCAAACTACTTCCTCTGAGCCTGTCATAGCAGATAAAATCCAGGCTCTGCTTCTGTCCCAGCAAAAGCAGCTTGAAATGAGCATTCAGAATGCTATACAGAATGCTCTGCAAAATTCTGTTCAGAACTTATTGCGTGCTAGGGACCAACAAGAAAATCAACGTCAGGAAGCATTAATGTCTGTCATTTCTCAAACTGTGAGCAACATAATAACCTCTCAACTCCCGACCCTTATCTCTCAAGAAATTCAATCGGAAGTGGTTCCAAGTAAGTGCCTTCCCAGTGACTGAAGTACTGTTCATGTTAAGTTGTACGATGTTATGCATTTTACTTTCTCAGTTGTAAGGAGTAATGTTCAGCAAATGAAGCAACAAGTTGCTACAGAAGTTGCAACCAAACTTGCAGCAACAGATCAGCTAATGAAAGATAATTTGGCCAAACTAGTTACTAACAAGGTAAGTTATCTATCTACGGTAATTTACGGTAATTTGTTTCAGGCAAGTTTCGTCAAATGCACAGTTTCTAATTCTTTCTTTTCCAGTCCTTCATGGATATGCTCAATCAGTCCCTCTTAATTATGGCTCAACCAACATTGCAAAGTCTTTACAAAGAATCTTTTGGAACATTGGTACCTACAATGGAAAAGGTCACCCAAAGTATGTTCCACCAAATAAACAATTCTTTTTCAAAAGGAACCCAAGAGTGTAAGTTTGATTTCCTTTTTTTTGAACAGTACGATTTTTGAATGTTAGATTATATTTTACTTTAGTGTTATGTTTCCTTGTCTATAGATATGCAATATGTTGATGGGACAGTTGAAAAGCAACGGAGGCAATACGATAGGGCTCATGAAATGTTGCAATCAGTCGCTGAGTCGATGCAAACTTCACATGAACAGCAAACACTTTTACTTAAAAGTACTCTTGATAATAATCTACAAAAGCTACAAACTAGGTAAGAAATTGTTTTTCTATCATTTCTTAGATCATACTACTGTTTATTTTGAATTTGAGCTAATATTTTGTTTTGACAGCCTTCTTGATAAACTTAACAAAACAGTCAGTGATACAGTCAAGGGTAACTTAGCCCAAGGCTTTAAACAACAGAAAGCTGTTATAGAAGAAAGTGTTCTGACAAGTTTGAATGCGGTTCGCTCAAGAGCCGTTAGTCCTGCACAATCTGTAAGTGACTACGCCAGTATGGAGCGACGTGTCTTGAATTTTATTCAAGAAAGGGATTATAACTCAGCATTCCAACAGGTAGAGATCACAGCTTGTATTGTCTTTTCATACTGGTGTACTTATTTTGGTCCCACTAAACAAAGTTTATTTTGTGTCGCTGCAGGCCTTATCAGCATCAAGCATTGCTCTTGTTCTTGCTGTATGTGAAAGGGTCGATCCTCAAGAGGTGTTTTCTTCTCAACCATTCCCTTTGAAACAAAATGTTCTTTTATCTTTGATTCAACAGCTGTCTGTTGATTTGAATGATCATACTGAGCTGAAGCGAAGGTAATCATGTTGCTAATTGTATATGTGTTCCATTTACCTATAAATTTATTCAATAATTTGTAATTTTAAGTTTGTACCATCATTAACTTTTGATATTTTCTTCTAGGTATCTGGAAGAAGCAGTCATGAGTTTAGATCCTAATGACTCTGACGTTCGTAAGCACCTCTATATCATAAGCAAATTGCAGGAGCAATTGATGGCATTTGTGCAGGGTCATCCTGGTTCAGCATTGAGCCGTCAAATGAAAATGTTATACATGGCCACATCAAATCTTGTTCAATCACCAACCTCGCCCTCATAAGACCACGTATCTTCTCTGACTGCCAGTAATTACCTTTTAATAAGAAAAACTTTTGATGTTAAGAGCTTAAACTGAGAAGTATGTTGTTGAAAGATCTCTTAATTTGACTCAAAGTGATCATTGTTCTTATGTGTATTTTATCAGGATAATTATTGTATCTTATTTTATTTATCAGAAGAAAGGGAATAATATCTTAATTTTTTGTTATATTGTTCCCCCTCTTCGCAATTTTGAGTGAGACGACCCTCACTCACTTCAGTGGCAGTTCTCTCATACATTCATTCTGATTCTTGACTTTCATTTGAATTAACTGACAGCATATGTTGTTAAAAGATTTTTTTTTTTATGTCAACAATTTTTTAAATGCAATTACAATTGTTGCATTATGTTTTACATTCACCAATGGCTTGTAGTAAACCTTGACATGTTGCCTAAAAGTGGAAGTTTGAACTTAAGTGTTGCTCCTTCCCAACTAGGTACTATTTTATGTCCCTCGCCACATTGACAATGCGTACTCGCATCAAAAGGTTTTGTTTTGTTTGTTTTATTTTGAAAACTGTGTCCCCTTTGATCTGTACTTTAATTATTAATCAATTGTGATCCCATGCAGTAATAGTGCTGACCCATACTTTACCAATTATAATTAAGTAATCCTGAATTAAACTTACAGTTTCGAATAATTTTGTCTGTGTGTTGATGATATTTCCTCTTATAACTGTCACTGTGATATAGAAGTTGCACTAAAACTCTACAGCAAATTTTCTGCAACGATGCCAGCTTCAAACGTCTTTTACATGGCATACCGTAGATTCTGAGAGCTATCCTTTATTTATATGTCCATTGAGTGTGTGCGTTACATACAACCAATATTTTAAAATTCTGTGGTTTTCTTACTTGATCAATATGTTCTAATCATTTTCTGTTGCTTTTTATGCACATGTTTTGTTGATTTCTTAACTCTAAAAATACATCAATGCCAGTTTTTTTTTTTTAAGTACCTGTATACTATTGCCCAAGTTTGTTCATAGTTTTTTAATCCTGTCTATCTTTCCAAATATTTTGAGAAGGCCTCAGAATGATAAAAAGAAAATCAGAATCAGATTTCCTCTCACTTACCGTAGTCTCTATGTTCTGTCAACAAAGGAAATCAGTCTTTATTATTAGGATTAATAGAGACTGAATTCCTTTGTGTGTCATTAAGGTAAAACTTTTAATAGAATATTTTAAGGGATGTCATTGCTGTAAATAAACAATTAAATTGCTTCATTACGTGAACTATAAGATAATTTATTACTTGAGAAAACAGTATTTCATCACACAAGCGATTTAAGTATAACCCTTATCAAGCTGATTTCAATCGCATCAGCTCATCTTTCACATGTTGTGGTATCTTTTTCCTCTTTCTACTCCTCTTCTTTTTAACTCCTCCATCACTCTTCGATTCAGGTTGAACAGGGTCTGATTTTTTCTTCTTACTCTTCTTACAGGACAGTGGGTTAGCCCCACCCCTTTTCTTTCTTTTTTTGGGAGTAAGTTCACTGTCAGACTTCACACCCAATTCAACTTCTTTAAGTTTAGCTAAAGTCTCTTGTTCAAATTTGCTAACGCCCCAGCTAGGAAAATGAATAGTACAGTTAAAACCAGTCAAATAGAACAGAATTTCAATATGAATTGTATACTTACAGACTATTTGTAGCTTGAGAAGCTGCTTTATGACTTTCGTCGGAAGGTGCTTCAAGGGTTGGTGCTTTGTTATGAAAATATAAAAGAGGAACACCTGGAATGGATCTCAATCTATCTTGTAGGTCTCTGTCTTGCGTTGCGATAATATATCTGAAAGAAAGATATGTTTGAGATGAACTTGCTATTATGGAAAATTTATGCAAAATGGAAAAATGCACACAGTTTTCCACATACCGATTTGGGTTAGAAGTCCCAATCATAGATTGCAAGCATTTACTCCCAGTAACTGGTTTATCCTTGTGACTACATTTATGGATTGGAAATTTTTTAACAATTAGCATAGCGCCAAACACACTTTTACCTGTATTTAAAAATTAAAGGTATAGTTAGTCGCCCGGGTATAATAATGGTCTCAAGAGGTGCTACGCCAGGCGTCACCTTTGACTGGCCGGACTATAAGAACATGTATACTCACCTAGCTTTTCAGTTTCCAAAACAATGCATGGTGTGGTAAGAAGTTTAATTTCATTGCCTAAGTATATTTTCAACTGATCTTGAATGTCAAGTTGATCCTGAAAGATGACAGATTGAATAAATACATTCACAATAAACAACAAAGAAACGTGTGACAAAAGGTTAGATCAAAACTACCTTTAGTGCAACGAAACAAAACGTTCCGTCGATTAAAACTTGAAAGGGTTTCCGAAATCCAAAGTTATTGGCATAAAATGCCAAAGTCTTTTGGATGCGTTTGTGTCTATTTATTCTCATCGTTACACTATTTTTTTAAAACAAGGAGAAAATTTAGAACTGTTTACACTTTTGTCATGGAGTTCTTTTTTCTTTCGCTGTCTGCTTCTGCTTGACGACGGGTGACGGGTGTTGAGCAGAGATTGACCGATAGCTAGCTTCGAGAGGCGAGACATTGTTCGATATGTTTGATATTTTCTGGCTCCTTATCTCTGCCCGAAAGCAAGTACGTATGTACGTACGATGGTCTTTTGAGTCATTTTGCTTGGTTGTGTGTGTACATTGGTCACAGCATTAGATAGTTTCCCTGTCCCCTTTTCTTACCCCTCCTCGATTCCTTTAGTAATGCAGTGGCTGCTACGTTACTAATTGGCATCATTGGTATTCAAATTTTCGGTTCATGCCATCGATTAACATAGCGCGATAGTGGAAAGTGCAGATGGGTTTTGGCCGACTTCCATATTTTTATCACAAAGCAGGCTTTTAATTTTCGTTTGACAATTAGAAATCAAGCTCAATCAGCAACCCGCTTACGTTCGCAATTTAAGGTATTAGCAGAACATAACCTTGTCGACCAGTGGTTAATACTGATAAACAGGTAAGCAGCAGCAAATGTTTTGATTTCAGTCATTTGTCTACATTTCGGACAGACGCCCATCTGTTCCCACGGACTTGCCCTTTCCTTGATTCACGATGATTAGTTTACTTACGTCAGCACTCAGATTCAAATGTCTTCTTTACATAAAGTTTATCCAGTTAGACAGTATACATATTTGGTAGGTTTGGTTATGTTATCAGCCTATTTTGGATTTATTGCTGGAAAAAATATGGGTTTAATTTATTTCTGTTCTCTCTAGTTCCACCATTTGTCATTATTGTGTTGAATGAGGAGTAGTTGTGAGATTAACGTGATCTGTGAATAATAAGAGGGTTGCATTTGGTTTCAATTTTTTGAAGTGCGACATTGTTTCTTTTTTCAATATCATTGTTTATCACTCATTCATGACTTACCAGTAGTTTCTTTGATATGGGTGCCACTCAGGCACGATTTTAATTGTTTTTAACCAGTAAAAGACATGATGTGAGACTTTGAGTCGCATATGAACATACTGGCAGGAGAGGTAAAGGTCTCTTTACACTGGGAAACCCCCCCCCCCTGTAAACTGTGAAATGTATACTCACCTGAAATTGTACTATGTCAAATAAATAAACCATGTGTTCTTTTCAAAAATTTCAGCCATCATGTCTGTTGGACCGTACAACTACTCGTACATTTTCAAGTACATCATCATTGGAGATATGGGTGTTGGTAAATCATGTCTCCTCCATCAGTTTACTGAAAAGAAATGTAAGATGCTTTTTTTTCCATTTCGATGCATAAATCGTATTAGTATGTTACTTTTTGCAAGATCTTTTATTACATTTTGTTTCGTTTATCTTAATAGTTATGTCAGACTGCCCTCATACAATTGGTGTTGAATTTGGAACCCGCATCATTGAAGTATCTGGGCAGAAGATAAAGCTGCAAATTTGGGACACAGCTGGACAGGAACGCTTCCGTGCAGTAACTAGGTATGTTTTCTGACAATCTAATTTAGTACATTTCTAGTTGAAGTTTTTAATTTTTGTGTAATACAGTTTTTGAATCTTTCTTCTAGATCATATTATCGCGGTGCTGCTGGTGCATTGATGGTTTATGACATAACACGTCGCTCTACTTACAATCACCTCAGTAGCTGGCTCACCGACACCCGAAATCTTACCAACCCAAGCACTGTAAGATTTAAGTCCATTCTTTTGCTTTGGAGCTACTCAGTGGGCTTTGTTGTTGTCGTCTTTTTCTTAGAGTATTACTAAGTTTTCTTTTTCTTAAGGTGATATTCTTGATTGGAAACAAATGTGATCTAAATGCTGCACGGGATGTCACATATGAAGAAGCAAAACAGTTTGCTGATGAGAATGGTCTTATGTTTGTTGAGGCCAGTGCTAAGAGGTAAGAAGTGTAATTGATTGATTATGCTGTAAGCTGTTTTCTTCACAGTAGGAGTTATTTACTTTTTATTTTCAGTGGTGAAAATGTAGAGGAAGCTTTTCTGGAAACAGCAAAGAAAATCTATCAGAGCATTCAAGATGGAAGGTGAGGGAAATATGCTGTTTTAAGCTACTATATTCTTACTTTTCAGGTTTATTGTTGAATTATAACATCTCTTTACCTTCTAGGTTGGACCTAAATGCAGCAGAGTCTGGAGTTCAACACAAACCCTCTCAACCTGGCGGCCGGAACACCCTTGTTAATGATCAAACTGCCAGCAAAGACAGCTGTTCGTGCTAAATGTGTTGTCAACCCTTTACGCTAAGCATCTCAGTGATGTGGTTGCATTGAAGTAAAAGCAATGCCTCTTTACTTAGGCCAGTCTAACCGCCAATGAATGGATGCTACTATGGAGCACTGTACAAGAGGCAATATTGTGCAAGGACTTGTATAGTGTTTAGCTGGATGCTGGCAGTGTTAATAATACTAAAATTGATTAGGAGCCATTTGGGCTGTTTGTGATACAAATATAAAGCTGTTGGAAGGTGAAGTATGGCTGTTATGCCCTTTGGTTGCTTGACTGAGTTTTTCACTTGCAAAAGTATTTTTGTATGTTGCCATACTGAGGCACTATCACTCTACCCTCTTTAAAAAAATATGAAAGGAAGTGAGAGTGCTAGCACCTGTCTATAGGTGGTTTAATGCTTTTGCTAGGTCCATTATAGCGTCACCAATTATTCAATGCGAGCAACGGGTTTACTCTTAATTCTCATCTATTCTTGGTCAAAACTTTACTCAGGTTTACTTTTCTGATAACTATACAATTAATATAAAAGGTTCTGGTTCAAATCTAATGAAGGAAATATTTGTCTCAAGCTGTTCACCCACTTGGTACAGAAATCTTTTCATTCTTACTTTCTAATGAAATTCAAGGTAATGAATGAGGTTTAACTGTGGCTTAACTGGAAGGATGTCAATGCAGTCAAAATTTCTCACTTTTGTTTTATTTTAACCAAGGTATTTACTGTTTTATTGTTTTAATTAGCTTTCTCTGTCTCTTAATGAAATAATCATGCAAATTTTAGCACAAGTTCATTTTATTGCTAAAACAAACCCATTTCTTTCCATTTCTTAAAGAAATGGAAGATACTATTTACCATGAACAATAATTGACATACAATGTAAAAATATAATTATTCTCAGATTTATTTTTTTATGACAGGCTCATGGGTAGTTTGGGTAGGTACACAGCAATTTAATTGTTGTATTGTAAGGTAGATTGTGTAACTTTATTTGGCTTGACATCCCTTTTTCACTTCTTGTGAACCAAGAATCTTATGTGAACACCAAGCCCTACTTTAAACAGATCCTTGTTAACACAAGGTGAGGAGGTAACAAACCATAAAGTTCAATCTGCGGCTTTTAGCTGTAGATGTAAGCTTTGGGATTCAACTCTCCTAATATCAACCCTTGGCTATTAATTTTCCACTGAGCTTTTGAGCTTTTCTAGCTGTGTCATTAGTGAATTTGTAGGCAGGAGTTATAGCAAAATTGCAATTTGCTAACAAATTTGGTATCTAGACAAAATAGGAACTGATTTGCTTTTCCTGTATTTTTTCAGCATTTTCTAGTATGTCTACTTAATTCTTAGATGTCTCTCAGTATTTACATTGGAATGCAACAGCGTGTATAGATTCGGGAGTTCTTCTTTAACCTGTGTTGGCTGTTACTTGTAAATGCCATGATACCAATACAATTATGGAACCATTCTTTACCTCCTTTTAATGTCCAAATGAAAATGCCAAAGTCCTTCATTCCTTAGCTTTCATTTTTTAACCTTGTAATTAATTATTTAAAGGTAAGATTATTGGCGTTTATAATTTACATGTTACACCTTAAACTAATCTAGTATTTGCTGTAGGATTATCTACTGGTTCTTTTATTATTTTGTGAGAGTGATGTCTGCTGTAATCTGAGTATCGAGAGAATTATTTACTCAGCATTTTTACAAGTGGCCATAAACTTAAATAGAGCCATGCTGGTAGCTTGGTTATTTGTATGTAGAATGTCTGAATCCAAATAATTCCACTTCTGGCAAACATGTTTTTGGCATGGCTTGTCAAATGCTGCCCAAGCTTTTTTGATGAATGGTACCAAATATAACACTGTCTTCTAAAATGTTTCTTCAGCTTTCTCTTACTTATACAGAATGAATTTGGGATCAAAGATGATGTAGTAGAGTCTTCAAATTTGGGGGCCCTAAACACTATTGTCTATGGCTGTACTGCTAAATCTTTCCTTGTTAGGGATTTTGTTATCTGTTTCCACATTACTTGTGTGTGATAACTGATATAGTTGCTCCTTTGAATATGGTTAATTTACTATTATGCTTTCTTGAAGGTTAAAATTTAACTGTGATTTAGGTATTTCTTGTTTCATTTTTCTTTGTATGTCAACATTGAATCTGTACTTTTTTTTTATGTCACTGTAGGAACCCTATAGAAACAAACACTATTGTTTTATCTCATGCTAAAATTATCGGTTGAGCAGATTTTAAAACCAAGAAATGATGTCATTACTGTACCACAGCAGTTAATTGGTGATTATATATATGGTGCGGATCTTTAGTGATTGATACAGTCTTGTATTTCCGTGCAGTTCTTTATTGTTTATGGTTTGAAAATTTATATTTCTGTTTCCGACTTTATGGATACCACTTTGTGTTTTACATGACTATGAAATGTACAACACATGCAGTAGTCATTGGAAGGTAATGTGATTGTGTGTATATGGTGTTTTTATATCTCAATTTGTTGATAAACTTTTACCTGTTAAAATCTACTTGTATGAAATCAAACTTTATTAGAAAGATTCCTTTATGATGGTGCATTGAGACATATCTCTACCTTAGTTATTTGTTTTAGTATGAGCTTTGATATTTCCTATGCAGTATGATGAGTGTTCTCCTTTTATTCTTAAGTCAGATGTAGTCCATATATTGGTAATGTGCTGTTTAATTGAGGGAAGACAAATAATTTGGGAATAGTTTCTAGCTTTCTATAGTTTGGAATGTGATCTAAATGAATGACAATGTTAATTATTCCCCTAATTGAGGTATGCAGTAAGTTACCATTTTTTCTCTGTGGAAATTTTGCATTATCTTTACGTGCTTTTCAAATATTGGTCACTTCAAACAAAACCTTTGTATCGGTTGTAATTTGGTTATAAATTTGTATATTCCATAGCAAGTTTATAGTGATTGCTTTCGTCTTTCCTGTATTACCATGTCAAATTGGCTCTGTCAGGCATTCTATTCTTATGAATTTATAACGCAGTCAGCATCGGTATGTCATATCTCATTAGAAAATTGACATTGTGTTATGAAGTAAAATATATTCTTGAATGCACATTTGCATACAGCACATGTGTTTCAACAGACAGACGTTTAAGACTCAACTTCTTGTGTTTTATTACGGTAAATAAAGATTATATGTATCAGTTATTCACAAGAATATATGCACTATGTAATACTCAAATGCATTTCAAATATTTTGAAAGACTCGTTTTCCTGTCAGTAGCCTGTTAAATTGACTGCAAGGAATGCTTGAGGCTTTTTTGAGATTTTGAAAGCCATGCACTAGAATATAATAACCACTCTAAATAAGTTTACTTTACAGAGCATTGATGAGTTACGCAGAAACCCCATCAAAAATGACTAAAAACTTGATCATGGTGGTCATCTCTTTTAAGTAATCTTTCATCTCTATGGGTGTGGACAACCCGTTGAATCTCTGTCGACTCCACTACTCATTCCTAATTGGGTATGTGGATTATCTGTCTTTTATAAAAAATATACACTGAAGAAGTACTACTCATACTTTGCATATTCTTTCCCTTTGATCAGGGTTTAAGAATGTCTTTTGACTATGGAGTCCAATTCACTGACCGTTGCTCTAAGAATATTGTTTATTTGATCTTCCCTTAAAGATGATCGATTCAAGATAATCCTGACTATCTTTAACATTCATATACACTTTGAAAAAGAAATGTCTGCTCCTAGGATTGAGTAGGTTTGTTGAGTGGTGAGTGCTTAATTGTTGTCTTATTCACAACCGAATGATGTTTGTCATCGCGAAAGAATCTAAACTATTGTGAGCTTTCAGGATAGCATTTTCAAAACACTTTAAATGTTCTTTCACTCGGTAATAAACACAAATGAGGCCTTTTCCATAAGTGAAAGCCCGCATATTTTCATTCATTGTTCGTGCCCCGACCATCTGATTCGCTTTTCAGACCAGATCTGGTCCCCAGCCGGTCAAGGCAGGCGTGGTCGGACATCAACGGCCCGTTCCAAGTAGCACAGAGCGAGTAGCTGACGAGAGCGCGTGAGTAAGGACAGCCAGCCTCCACGCCGCCACCTTCGCGGCCCCCGCTGCGGCCCCTGCCCCTGGTCCTGCTGTAGGGGGTGGGGGTCCTCGCAGCCAGATGTGCCCCCTTCCCCCTCTACCCCATGTAGTACTCGTCCATTGAGCCGCCGCCCGCCCGCCGCACAGACACCCTCGCACCGCTCAGCGCAGCGAGGCCGCGACGACAGATGGCACTGAGTCGCGGATCTCTAGCGCCCCTTCATCTCTTTGAAGGAAAACATTGTGACCTTCCCCCCTTCCCTTATGTTTCACGTCGAAAGGGCATCACCCTCCTAGGTGCCTCGAGGTGGTCTTGGAGGCAGGGATGGGGTGAGGTGAGGTACCTTGAAGCTCGGCCTCGGGAAGGAAAGGTAGTGGAGGCGAGGGGTGCGCGAGGAAGATCCGCCGATCCGCGCAGCGACTCCCCCCACCTCGCAGCCGAGGCCAGCCGCAGATAGGTAGATGGGGTGGTGGAGTTGGGATTTGGTTCGGCCTCGTCGGCCAAGACATGATAAGGCGGGGCTGGGTTGGGCCGCATTGACACTTCGGCGGCCTCGGCCGTGTCCCATGATGGGGAGCTGAAACGGCCCGAGGTTGTGTCCGGACCGGCTGTGTTCCGTGCAGTGAGGTTGGGGCCGTGAGTGACCATCGCACCGTCCCGTCCTGTCCACCCCCAATGAACGGCCTCGTCGGGGGCGGCGGGCGGGTGGCGGCGGCGGAGCGTGGGGGCGGGATCTCCGTACACACGACTCACTCGGGGCCGGGCCGAGCCGCCGAACGTGGACCCGAGCCGGGCCGAGACGAGCCGAGCCGCTGCGGGTGGCAGGGGGGCGGAGGTGGTGGTGGCATCGGAACGGCGAACGGAACGGAACGGCAGTAGCGAGGCTGGCCTGCCCCGAGCCGCTCGTGCTCGAGCCGCGTGCGCCACGCGCCCCCACGGCAGCTGTCCGGACAGCAGGCGTGAGCGCGAGAGCGAGGGGCACCTGCAGAGGGACAGCAGCGGGGACAGCAAGGACAGAGAGCGGGCCGCGTGTAGTGGACTGGCCCTGGCCGAGATGCCCGACCGGGGGCGGCCGCTGTGAGTGAGCTGGGCGGCTGTACCGGCCCTTGCCGCGGTGCTTGCGCGCGCGCGCCCATGGGACGGTGACACTGTGGATTACTACCTAGCTCCCGGTTCCGGCCCGGCCTGCCTGGCCACTAGCGGAGGTAAGTCTGCCGGTCTGCAGCAGGGGCTGCGGGGGCTGCGCCTGCCGAGGACACGCCGACGGGAACCCGTGGTCAGCCAGGTACCCTTCCGTGCCAAGAACCGCTCGGTGGGGAGGGGGCGGGGACGGGTAGCGAGCGGGGGAGGGGTCACCTGGAGTAACAAGTCATGAGGTGTCAGCTCATGTCCGGGCTCGGTGGCGCTGCTGCTCGCTGCTCTGTGGGCGGCTTGTTGCTGTGTCTGTCACACCTGCGGTAATGATGAGAGTGAGTGAGAGAGAGAGAGAGTGGGAGTTTGAGTGTCTGAGATACAAAGAAAGAGTGAGAGACGGGGCGGCTGCAGTTTGGCACAGGCCATCGCATGGCATGCCGTCTCCTGTCAGCCTCATGGCGGGTGGCGGGTGGATGGCGCGGCGAGGAGTGGAGCGGAGGCCGCGGCCACCACCCCCTTCCCTCAGCCCCTACCCCCTCCCGGCGGCGGCAAGGGGGTCACTGGTGTAGCTCTCGTATTGATTCGGGGCCCCCGCTCCTCCAGGCCCTCCCCTTCTCTCCGCTGGGCTCCCCCTCCCCTTCTCGCTCTCTGTCTGTCTCTCCCCCGCCCGCCCCCAGCTCCTCTCTCTCCGTTGGGCGCTCTCTCTCCCACCCTTCCCTCTGTCTGTCTCTCCCTCCAGCTCCCTCCCCCTTCTCTCTTTCTCTCCTCATCCCACCCCTCGCTCTCGGTGCTCGGCGCGGCGGGACCCCGTGAGGTTCTCCCCTCGGCTCTCCCCCTCTCCGGCGTGCCCAGAGGCCGTGCCCAGCGGCCGTGCCCAGAAGCAGGCCGTGCCCGTGCCCAGAGCAGGCCGTGCCCTGAGCAGGCCGTGCCCGTCGTGCCCCGCTGGCCCGACCTGTCTGTCTTTGGGGCCCGCTTACCTACTCGTACACTTGTGGACCATCGAGGCTGACCAGGCCGGAGCCATGCAAACCACCGCCATTTTCCGATCCACCCTTCTCTAATTTAAACTGGAACATTTATTAAGGCGAGCAGTGCAGTTGACACGTGGCAAAGTTGGCACAGCGAAATATTCAAAGCACAGCCCCAATCCTCAATGGATACGTTTATCCAGTGCTGTGGATAAATTTATCCTCTTTTTGGATTGTGGTTATTTGCATATTTTCATAGTTATTATGCAAATATTTTTGACAAAAACTAATGCCTCGACTTACATTTAAGTTGAACCAATAGTCGAAAGGAAGGAAGACTTTTGAGATATATAACCCGCGGGTGTTTTTGGTCGCGCGCCGTTTGCCTGCCTACTCCCTCTGCTCGTAAGGCGCCATGTCCCTGAGAGGAGGCCAACCGCTTGGCGTGATGCTTCGAAACACCCGGCACACAGATTTAAACGAACCCGAGAGTCTAGGGTGGAATAATCCTCGTTTAGGCTTTGGCCACCTCCCAATCTGTCGTCATCGGAGCAATGTTGAAAGAGGCCTAAACACACATACTTTCTCCATTGTTGAAGCGATGTTTCTGTCCCACTATTTGCACACAAGTCAGTTGCATATGAGACGTCAGCCTCGTCTGGTCTCTACAGGCTCGCCCAGCACGTCGCACGCCATGGTGCAGTAGTTCTTCTGCAGTTCAGAGAGACGCTGAATTTCGAAGAGGCTGCACCGGAGAAAACACTAAAAAGTATTGTTCTTACTAAGAATTACTCCAAAGGGTATAAGAAAAGTATTTACTTTTTAACCAATTAAATATGAAATATAAATAAACGGGTAGTGACGTCTGCGAGCGCGTCGTAGCTGTCCTCTGCGTCGTCCACGGGGACAAACGCCAAGGCGACGAACAAGTCGGTCCTCATCGCCTCGTTCACTTCTTCGCGTTAGGTGACTCCGCAAGCACAGCCCCCTCGAGGTGGCATGCATGGTTAACAGTGCCATTAAAGTTGAATGGGGCAAGATTTTTGAAAATGGAGGCAGATTGGGGCGAGTTGGCAAAACCTTGCATCCGGGGCCCGCCCCAAGGTCGTGGCGATAGTTGTAACTGGGGCGAGATGTCCGGGCACCCGTTAGTGGCAAGGTAGATGAGAGAGAAGGACCGCCAGGTTGGCAAGGGGGGGGGGGGAGGCAACATTCTGCTGATACGAACACAGCACACTGACAGTTGACAGTTGTAAACGGATACTCCGATCCTGTGACTGTATCGTGATGTGGGTAGCATTTATTGAATACGCGCGCGTGTGTGGGGGGGGGGGGGGGACCCTCGCGATGCGGCTGCCCCCGTGTTGTGCAGAGCGCGGGGCGGGAGGCCCAGCACAGCTCTACACAGGAAACAGGCACAGTCGTCGATCGATGTGCCCTCCCGGCGAGCCTCCCGGCCTGCTCGTGCTCGTCCCGCCGGTGCTGCTCTGCTGCCCGGCTCTGCTCCCCCTGTTAAACCTCTTTTCGCTGTCTGTGCGTGTGTACCCCCCCCCCCCTCGCCCTTTCCGTCCGCAAAGACGTTTGACCCCGCCTTCTGTGCGAGCTCAGGCCCCCCTCCTAAATGCTCTCATGCGACACGTTCCGCGTTCTATCCTTTCCCCCGAGTCCAGTGCATTCTATAATTCTCTTTTCAGTTCAGTTCAGTTCAGTTCCTCTGACGCGGTCAGGCCACACAGCGAGCGTCGTGCTGGTTTGGCTCTTCTCTCGAGGCCTGCTCTGCTCTTGTGGGGCGGCCTCTCTCTGGGGAAAGGGAAGGAGGGGGGGGGGGGGACAGCTGCCCATTATAAGGGGCGGTGCAGAGGGGGAGGCCGTGGCGCAGGAGCAGGCCGGAAGCGTCCGTGAGGCAGCCGAGGCGCGGTCTCGCTGCTTAGAGCGCCGCGCTGTTCACAAAACTCGCCCGTTTTCGAGATTGTGCTGGCTCCTCTTATGGAACGGGGTGCGATCCTCGGAGGGATCCACGGAGCGTCTCTGCGAGTCACGCACTACACGGAAAAAAATATGTAAGTTCGCACAGCTGATATGTTTGCTGATATCGTGACAAGCAACTTTTAAGCTCCCGGAGCTAATAATTGACTCCTGTGTGCAAGAATTAGCTAGGGCAGCTAATGCTTATCTGGATTAGCTTTAGTGCTCGTTCTGGTAGA